AGGAAAGAACAGCGCAGGGTCCTGTGTCGTTCCTCCACGAAGAGGGGGAGCGACATAATGGTGCCGTGACTCGGATATGAAGCCTAGGCAGGGTTTAGTGTCATTCCTCCATGAAGAGGGGGAGCGACAGGTCCCTGCATTCACGTGGGAGACCTGGAAGAAGCTCCAGCCTCCTGTCTTTGGCCCACCTCGGCCTATTATGGCCACTTGGGGAGTGAACTAGAGAATGGAAGATCTTTCTCTGTGTCTTCCTCTCTCTATAACTCTACCTCTCAGATAGTTACATAACATTTTAAAAAAATGTATGAATACAGATAAAATAAAATTAATAATTAATTGACAGCTTTCAAAGCCAGATAATGATTATTTGATAGTTAATTATATTCTTTTTTTGTTTTAAAATTTTTTTCATAGCAAATTGTAGAAGTACTATTGCACTTTATTTGCTCTCTCTTTCCCACATTGTATTCTCATTTGCCTCTCCTTAAAAAATTAATGTGTTACTGGTCTCATCAATTTGAATTTTATTTCCTAATATTCACTCAGAACATGATCATCATGTTTGTTCTCTTTAAGCCTTGAAACTCAACTTTCTACAAATAGCTACTCTGCTCAAAACCTGTGTTTCTCCACTTTCCTAAAAATAATGTATCATAAGATTATTAAAATAAAATATCCATAGTTAGACATCAAAGATACCTTGCAATTTTATTACCATTCAGCTCTTAGAATTTTTTTTGTTTGCTTCTCTTTATGAGTTCTGTGATTTGGTCAAAGCATCCTTATGCATACACTTGTTTACTTCTTCTTAGAACAGGCCATGGGAATTCCATCTCTTGCTCTTAAAAGACCTCTTGTTTCAGTAATTGCTTTCATCTTTACGTTAATTTGTTCTTTCCTGAAAGACCAATTGAAGTCTCAGCTTCTCCATGAAGTTTTTCCTAAAAACTTCTCAGTCTATGGTCAAATCTCCTTTTTGGCTTCAGAAGCAATTATTTTCTTATCACTCATTCTATCACATGCTACCCATATGACTATTGAATTTTTAATGTACACAATCTACCTCTTTGACATAAGGTACTATATCAGATTTTTATATACTGAAAAACACTTCTTTAGGTGTCTCAAATGAAGTAATTATTTAAATTATGTTGATATTGTTATCATCATTTTGCCATTATTATTTCCATTGTTGGTGATGGTCATGATGATGATAAAGGAATTTCATCCCACAATGGTTGTCAGAATATCAGAATTCTGATATCTAATATCAGATTAAATGATCTTGGCCCTAGAGACTAATTGTTGAATAAGAGTAACGACCAATAAAACTGACTATTCAACTCCCCTGTGGTCCTTAGAAATCAAACCTGTAGGTTAAAATGTATTCGTCCTAAAAATCAAGATGACTTAAAATATACAAATAAGCAAACAAAATGACAAAACAAAATTTATTTTCAATGACTTTCTACTCAATAGAGAACAAATTTTGAATTGTCTTGATATATAGCTTCAAAGGTTTATAATCTTCTATTATATACAGACTCAAATTATATTCTCATTATCTCCATATGCATACATTCTATGAGAGTTAGAACCGTTTAATTTTTATTTATTTATTTTAACATTTTTTAAAGGCAGAGAGAGAGAGAGAGAGAGAGAGAGAGAGAGACAGCCAGGAAGAGAGATCTTCCACCTGCTAGTTCTTTAGCTAAATGATTGTGATATCTAGGGATGGGACTGGGCCAGGTGGAAGCCTGAAGCCCAGAACTCCATCTGCAGCATCTCCGCATGAGTGCAGGGACTCAAGTACTTAAGTCATCCTATACTGCCTCCCAGATTGTGCATTAGCAGGAATCTGGAATTGGAAGAGGAGCTGTAATTCAAACTCAGGCACTCTGATATTGGATATAGTGTCTTAATCACTGTGCCAAATATCTGTCTTCTAATTAGTCTAATTTAAAATATATGTGGAACCATTGATCTATCTCCATTAAACTTCTTTAGTTTGGATCATCACAATTTCTTGGATTGTTTCCACTCCTTTTCTAATGGATCACCTAGCCTTTATGCGGGTTCATTTTCCACCTTTCACTGAAGCTCAAGACTGGCTTATCCCACTTAAAATTATTTTATGACAATCATAAATGGGAAGGCTAAATGCCTTGATGAGTTCAGGTCCCTTGTGATAGTAGCTCTCATTCCTGCAATATTGGCTATCTGTTTTGGGCCTACTATAGTGCAGCAAACAACACAAGTTGTTCCCACAAGCATATTCTCTAATGGGGGGGGTGGAGCAGATACCATCAGATACAAATATAAGATAACGACCAGGAATTATGGCAGAAAGACACAAATGCCATGGGAAAGAAATTTAAAGAAGCATAATTTAGATTGAATATTAGAAGAAGCCTTTCTATGAAATAATATTTAATCTGGTTCCTTTATATGGATAAAGTTGGAAAGGGTCCTTCCTTTAGCTCATTTGATTAAATGTTATCTTTACTAAAAATTGGGTGGTCTTATCTCCATATATAAATTATGGTAACTCTTCATATTACACACTGTAAATATTTTCCTAGCCTAATGAATCTTTTAATTTTATACATTTTTATAGAAATTTACATTTTTATAGCAGTCTGTGGCTTTGTGTCATGGACAATAGCTTTGTGTTTTCTACTTTCCTCCACACAATATTATTATAAATCTTCAGATACATTTCCTTTTCTACCTTCACAGTTCTCAGATTTGAATTTATACATCCTTAATCCCTCCAATTTTATTTTTATATAAGGCATCAGTGGGGAATTCATTATTGTTTCCTATGTTGTTAGTCATTTATTCCAACTCCACTTCTTCAATAAGGATGGAAATTTATTGTCGTTTACTATGAGCCACACACTCTGCCAAATGCTTTATATTAATAATCTCTAATTTTCACAACCAACAATGTAGGTACCATTATACTGTCTCTCTTTTTGGTAAGGCAACTGAAGAGCAGTTTAATAATTTGCTTGAGGTAATAGCTCGTACAGCTATTAAGCATAAAAAATACAGATTAGACCAAGAGATATAACCCCAAAGTACATTCTGTTCATGTTTATGTTGTACTAACTCCCATAATCCTTTCCTTTCTCATCAATTTGAAAGGTTTACTTTATGACTTAAGAAATTTGTATTGCATGTTGAGATACACTTTTACTTGGACTATTTCTGGACTTCAGAGAGTGCAATAATTTCAAGGTTATTAAAAACTGATAGTTATATTTGTTCCATATATTATGTTTTGATTAATTGATGAGTGCATTTTACAGAATTATTATTGAATACCTGGATGTACTTTCTCTTTACTACCAAAATTGTCTCTCTTCTGTTTCTCTTTTATCTCACTCCTATAGTTTTCATCCTTTCTTATACCTAAATTGATTGCAGAATTTGATATAATACTATTGAACTCCATATGAAACGGTTACATGTTTTATACATTTTTTAGTAAAAATATTCCATGCAATTCTTGTATAAGAAGAGATCAGTTTCTAATTATTATCTGCTATTTTGATGTATTACTTAGTTCTAATGACATTTAATACATTGAAAAATGAGAAAAGCATTCTGCTAGTCTCATAGTCCCTGCTATAAAAATCTAAGTATTATTTGCTCCCAGAACGTGTAAATGTATTTGGGAAGAATCTAGTGTCTATTGTCATGCATCATTATCTCTTGAGAGTGTCTTTAAGAAGAGTATCCTTTCAATGTTTCTCCATAGGATTCTTGAATTTCCAAAGGCTCCATCTCCCCTTCCTTAGCAGAGCTCTATTCATCAGAATGACCACCTGCTCTTTGATAGACTCCTGCATAAGACTTATCTCTCCTCAGTATACTCACATTAGATGAAGCTATCAGTGAGTTATTGGGACACACTCTCTGTACACTGCAAACCAAGTCTGAATTGGGCACTTAAGGAAAGTGCATTAACTCTTTTACGCCACCAGGGTACCATTTAGGGCCCTCGTGTAATGTTTTCTTCAAACCAGGTCATCATGATGTCATTTAATCATTTTAGAGCACTGAAATAGATATTTATGAGGTGGTTTCCTAGGAGTCCAAAAGAATTAGTGAAAGTCTCCGAAGCCAAATGGGATGAACTTCTTAGTTTGCCAGTGAGTTTCCAGTCCTAGCTATAATTCTGCAGGAGAATGTGCAACATTTCACAAAGGAAAGGAAATCCACTGAAATTACACTACCTAATCCAATTGGACTTATTGGTTGAGATCTTATTCTTGTTCTCTCTTCATTTCATCTCTATTTTTAATGCACAGTTATAGCCTAGTTCAGGGACTATTAGCTGCTTATCTACTCCTACGAAATGAAACCCACCTAACAGAAATCACAGATAATTGTAGAAATATAGAGCTGGAAGCTTTCTTTACAAACCATCTGGTAAAAATGAAGCTTGCCAGGTAAAGCCCTTGTTAAACTACCTCAGACTAATAAGAAATTATTCTACTTTTAAAGGTCTCCACATTTTTCCTTGCTAATAGGAAAATCTTCTATACTGAGATAAAATTCCCTTTTTCTGTATGATGTTGAATTTGATAGGATTTGAGGATAATATCATCCAGCTGTTCTCTACTACTAAGTAAAAATCTTTCTGTACAACTAGGTACAACTCTTTTGACCTAATCTTGCAGGATCTGCACAATTGTCAGAATATAGTATTTTTATAGCCCTTAGCACAACCTACAGGAGATGTGTGGGAAACTAACTGTTTATATTGTCACTTTCTGTGACACCTTAATGAGGTGAATATTCTAGAAACTTAAAAAACACACTAAAAGAAATGTTACACTGCATCAGAAAAAAAAATTCTTCAAAGTCCCCCAAATTTCCATTTACGTAACTATTATCTGCCTACATCTAAGTGATTAGAACTCCCAGATATGCTGTTATTTATCAATTACGTGAAGAACTTCTATATAACCCGTGGTATGAGAGTATACCTTGTGATGTCACGCTGCTGTGTTTAACAGATGCTTCAGATTGTAGTCATTCTCACGTCATTGTTCAGCATTTCCATAAATCCCAAGCAAGATAATGGAACTAGAACAAACAATATTTTACAAGAGGGGAAACAAGATATTCTAATTTTTATGTGGAAATCTAAATTCACATTTAATTTGCTTTATGTTCATCATTTTCTAGAACACTTTCTTATTAGACTTCTATATATAAAAACAGTACTTACTGTTACATTTCCCATCTTCATCTGCAAGTAGAATAGTGTCCTTTAGGCTTCAAACTCCATTCAAAATGCCATGCTAACTATAAAAACCGGTTTGTTTGCACTTATATACTTAGCTCCTTATTCAGGCCATTGTGTGTTTTACACATCTCATAACCGAGATCTCTATTCTGTGTGCTTGCAGCAGTCTTGTGTGGATTTGTCTCTGAGCCAGATTTATCTTCGTATTTCCCATTATAGCCTGAAAGAACTGTATTAAGGAAGCCTTTCTTTTCAGTTCCTGCTTGTGATTGCTAACATATCAAATTTATTCCTTCATAATCCAGATCAATTTCCAGCAGCTTTGAGGCCTGCTTGTAGTAGTTTGTTAGAGAGCTCGTAGTAACCCTATACTGACAGACCAAAAAGCCCTTCGACTGTCACTTTATGTCATTAACAATTTTCTAAAGCCATTACAGATGGGACGGACTGATTAGAACTGAGGAGGGAGGATCTTTTTCCCAGCCAGAAATATCCCCTGAGACTTTCACGCCGTGTGAAGTTTCTAGTGATTAATGGGGGGAAAATAAGGCCGCCTGTCCCACAGTTGCCAGAGACTTTATTTGAGAAAGAGCATATTTATATTTGGTGATCTTTCTGGATGACTAAACATTAACTGGCTAACATAAAATATAGATAGAGAAATGGGTTTCAAGTGATCTAAAACACGTCAGGTTTAGACCCCGAGGTTGGATTTTTCTCTCCTTGTTTGAGTATAGCTATGATAATTGAAAGTGAGTGCTGTTTCAGGATGAAAGTGTTTATCTTCCCCTGGCCTTTTTCCCTCCACTTCTGCTGTTTTATTTCTGCAAATGAAAGCTACAGCTGGAATATTGTTTTACTGCAAATCTCACACCAGCACTGTCAGTTGTGATGTGACACCAGAGATTCTTATCTGTAGGTTGGGTTGGAATTATTAAACATTCTCACATTGTGCAAAGTGTTGGGGATGAACAGCAGTGCAGTGAGGTGCATCCAACACTTCTGTCTTTCCCACCTGATCCTTGAAATGTGACTCCTTTAAAGGGCTAATGTTCACTTTCTATAGCTTTATATAGAGAAGTGACAGTACTCAAGAAGTAACATGAACTGAAAATTATAGTACCTTCCCATTCTTCAATCTTAATGCATGCTCTCAAAGGCAATCTTAACAGTAGGCTTCATCTGAAAAGAACACGATTGACCATTTGTGATGAACAACAATGAGTGTTTTATGAAGAAAGATTGCTTATAACCTAAATATTAGATAATATTTACATTTATTTCAGTTATTTTTCAAGCAACCTTTCCTGTGGCCAATTTTGTGAAATTAAAATGAAAACTGAGCCTCATGGTTTCTTTTAAAGTATTATTAAGACAGCTACAACATGTGCACTTGTGTTACTAGAGGCACACACCACTTTATATTATTTAACATCTTACTAATGCTTAGTAAGATACTGACTTTTCATCTTCAAAGCAGTTCAGAAATGTTAATCACTGTGACTCTTCTGCAAAGGTGGGAAGAACTATTATCTAGAGTTTAAAGATAAGAAGACTGAAGAAACAAGATGAAGTGACTTTTCTCAGAGCCCTCATTTGGCCTTGGTACCTAGATTTCCTGGATTCCAGCCTTAAGACAACATTAAGTACAATTGTCACAGCCTTGGCTTCAGATACACATGAAGACTCCTGATTCACACGGATTCTGTGCTTCAAGTTGCCTCTGCACTGTATACGCAAATACTTCCAGAAGTTATTCACGAAGGACCATAGCTGTACAATGATTGACAGGATACACTGATTTTCCTAGAAAGTACAAAAATCGTTTCCAGTGTCCTCTTTAGATTGGAATATGAATGAATAAATAAAGTGTTAACTAGCCCGGTTATCATTTATCAAAACAGAAAAAATACAAGATGTCCAGTTTCATTTCAACATCAGATTAACAATGACAAAGGCTTAGTATAAGTAGGTCTCAAATGTTGCAATATCATGGTTTATGTGACACTCAGCTGTAACCGGTACCTGCGTTTAACTTGCAACTCTAATCAAATCCAATTAAAACAAGTCTAAACATATATGAAAATTACTGACTCAAGAAATTTAAGAATGGTCTAGACAACCAAAGGACAAAAAGATCAAAGATGTAGGTGTCTTAGAGATCAATCAGGAGCAACAAAAAATATCTTTAATATTTACTTCTCCTGAATTATATGTTGGTTTCACAGTTTTATTACAGATCTTAGTGAGAAAGATGATTGAATTTGTCCAAGTTTTACTTTTGGAAAATTTGCCTTTGAAGAAAGAATGGTCTAAAGTTGATCCCAGATTCAAAAATACCAAGAAAGGGCTATGGTTGGTCTAGATGCAGCCAGCTGCCAACCTCTGAAATAGTCAACTAGAGCTGTCACAAAGAGCTTATGTAAAAATATTGCAACTTCTGCGAAGTTATATGAGCAGAGTAAGATTGATGAGCAGAGAAAAGGAAAAAAAAATTAAAGAAGGGTAATGTTCTTCCAAGATGAAATGTTTTTGGTTTATTCATTTTTTTGATTTTTTTTTTTGCGAGTAAATAGTAGGCAGCAAACACAAATATACATTCCAAGACAAATTTAGTCCAAACAAAATTGAGAGTTTTTAAAAGGATACAACACTAGCTTAAAGACCTCATTGGGGAAAGCACCTAGGCATCCAAGAAAACCTGAACAATCAGCAGGAAAGCTATTAGGACACCTGCTCTGTACCTTTTGTTTGTTTACTTTTTCTTTCTATTTTAATGATGTCTTTGTTTCTGAAGACCACTTTTCTGAGCTTGTGTGGTCCAAGTTGTTGCAGGTACATAGGGGCACGTAGTGCATAGTTGCTGGAGGCACAGCTCACTGACAGCATGACAGGGAACAGGGGCATGTTTGAAAAAGTGTAGGGAGTGGGGCACAATTTTCTGAGAAGGGCTATCTATTACATTCGAGTACTTTAAAATAATAACAGTATTACTACTTGTCTTATTTATTTCCAGGACCCGGGGGACGTATATCTTTTCACCTCCTATTATTTCCTTTCCTAAATTAACTGTACCCTTGGGATAATCAGTCTTAGGGAAGCTGTGCAACTTAGTTATATTGATCCGCAGCACTATTTTGATCCCTAAGTCCCTGAAAAAATTCATTTTGAGTGATCACACCCCCAAAATCCCATGAAGCAAGAGTTCTACTTACCTATCAACAAAATAACTTCTTTTAAGCTAGGTGCCTAAAGACTTACCCTAAAGAGAATATTAGTATAATTAAGACACATGTATTATATACATTTATAGAATATGATGAACTTGTCATGTGAATAGTTTGTTTCTTTAACTTAATACTGAAAAAGACCCTGTTTGAAATTTGAAGAGATAATGGAGGTAGCTACAAGGAACCAAAAGCTCCAAATCTTCCCATTTTTTTAGCATAATTTCTAAACAGTATCTGCTCTCTCTCTCTCTCTTTCTCTCTCACACACACACACACACACACTGTCTCTCTCATTATTGTTGTTGTTATTAATTCTAGGAAGTTGCTAGACCAGTTGAACTTCCTATGACTCTTCCTATTTAGAAAACTCAAACAATTAGCAAAAGATTATTCAATCACTCCTAAAGATAGATTTCTGCTAGATGAGTAGAATATCATGACCTTTTGGTTTATTTTATGTAACATTCCATATGCACTTTTTCTTAAAATGCCTGACACATTGACAGTGAGAGATGATGGTTAAAGTAAGGCTGTATCACAGGATATAGAGAGAATGTGCTGCGGCTCTCCCCAGTCTCATCTACAAAAGAGTTGCCACTTCTGTACCTTCAAAACAGACTGGCCATGAAGCTTTCTTTTCCTTAATTCAGAACCATCAATATAAATCACGGGCAAATCTTAGGAGTGGGTGTGGTCATCTAGGGTTATATTTAGCATGAGAAGAGTAGGAGATGGAATTCAGAGGTACACCTATGTGGAATGAGTGTATGGATTAAGAGGATCCCTTGAAGGAGTCTTAGTCCATAAGGTGGAAAACAGAAAAATAAGGGTAAATTGGACCAAGAGGGATTGGACATCAATGAGAGAGGGACTAACAGTATCAAAAACACACGAAGTATACTGGGAAGCATCTTCTGAAATTTGTCCAGTTAGAGATCAATGGTGACTTTCCTGACAGCAATTACAATGCAGTTGGGGGAAGGAGAAAGCACAACATGGAAAGTTAAAGGGAAATGTGGGGTAGAAAATTTAGAAAATGGGCACAAGCTATCCCGAGCAAAAGTTGAAAAGCCAAATTTAAACAGAATTTTGCATACTTTTATGTGAATCAGAAATTTAGTAAGCTTAAGTATATTTTGAAAAGGATGAGAAAAAAAGAGACCTCCCAGTGATTTTCTTTGTTAGACCTTGTTTCTCTCCTTTGAGCAATCATGGACACTTTATCTATGTCTCTATTACCATACTTATCAATATCCATCTAGTATGGTTGTTTATATCAATAGACATTTTAACTTTCAAATTATGTGTACAATATGCCATTGCTTAACTGCAGCAAGAGGGGTCTTGGCATATTTTGCTTACATATTATGTCATGGCTTCAAAAGGACCAATTCTTTCCATGTAGTAATATCTCTTTCTCTTTTTTTAGTTACTTAACAAATACTTGAACACTGATTATGTTTCAGGAGCATACTAGACACTGAATGTAAAATAATAAGTAGAATATTCTTTATCCTTGAAGAATTTACATTATAGTAGAGGAAGCAGATAATATTAATGTGCTATGATTTTAGTTTAATAACAATGCAACAGGGTTGGGAGGTTGGGATTAGAACCTAAGGAAAGGTCTTTAAGTCATGAGGCCTCCACCCTCATGAATGACTAATATTAGTTATAAAAGGGCTCCAGGATGTCAATTCAGTTACCTTTTCACATGCTCATTTGCCCCTCTGCCTTCTCCCATGGGAGTACACAGCAAGAAGTCTCTCACCAGATGCTTGCTCCTTGATCTTGGACTTCCTAACCTCCAGAATTGTGAGAAATGAATTCTTTTTCTCATATGTAAAATCTGGAAAAAAATAATAAAAACATCACCAATGAACTGACCAAAATTTCATGCAACTATTCCCAGGGACTGAAAAATGTTATTGCTACTCCTCAGCTTTCTTTTCTTACATTAAAGTCAACCCCAAAGAGGATATTTTACCCCCTTTGACACCAGTTATTCACTGAAAGTTAAAAAAAATTTCCTAGCATTCTCAAAGTAGAAGACAAGTTAACAGTAGATTGTGTACAAGTAATAAAGATTATAGTAAGATAATCTGCCATCAACAGGTTCCATCATTATTTTCCTGATACATATTACCAAATGAAAAGAAATCATAGGCAGAAGCTTACATTATTCTCTAATTGCTTTGTAACATTT